TTAAAGAGGGTTATATCAGAATAGGCCAAACTTAAGGGGGATATTGTGAAATTTATACTATCTCAATTCATACAAATTGTCAGGGGAAAAGAAATAATGAAGTCTTTCAATTGAAAAAGAAATGATAGCTTGAACATGTAACAAATGGTAAAACATGTCAACGACTGCAATTTTTCATACTGTTGAAGCTCCAAAAATAAGTTAAACATATAGATTTACTATATTACACTGATTATTCCTTCCTGCTATTAGCTCTTAAGCCTATCCAACATAAATAAAATTCTAATGCTATTGGCACTCTCTAAGAACCCGTATACCTATGGGCCATACTCAGAAGGATCCATGAACAGATTTGAGTGCATACCCTTACGCTTTTTCCCAAAAAAGGAAAAAAAGCATTCGAATAGGAGAAAGGCCAGTTTGCAAGACAGGTGGAAGAGAAAAAACATTTCTTTCCTTCGGTTTCTTGTATTTGCATCTTTCTGAAATATGATGGAATGTCAAGGTTAAACTTTGGATCACCAATATTGGTATCTCATTCATTAAGCTAAAGTTCAAACAATTTCAACAGTCTGATAGATGCATATATTTGGATACTCAGCTATAGATTGAGACATCTTACCTATGGCTGTATCCTATAAATTTTTTTTAAAAATTGTATAATTCATGCCCTACTGGGTCTAAATATTTAGTATCAGTATAGTATCCTATCTGAATATATCTGCAGAAGTAGATACCCATTTTACCTGCATGACCAGAATATTCTTGATGGGCTACGGTTCTTATTTGGTAATGGATGAAAGTGCTAGGATATCTGTGGGGAATTGCAAGGGTGCTGGAAATTGAACATGTATAGACAAGCTATACTTTAATTTGATGGAAAGTATGTGATAATACGATACTACACATGGGCCATATCAGATTGTCGTTGCTTAGGGTAGACATTCATCAGCTCATACAGAGGTGTTATAAATATTTAGAACGACATTAGCAATAATCTAGGGTGCCGGGTAGAGATAAATATATTCATGAAACTTCCCATTCTTTATGAAAAAGAAAGCAACAAGTGATAGATAGATTAATTAGGAGAGAAAACAAGGTATCAAGTATGAATCGCTAGCCTTGAAAGACCACAAGAAACCTGAATTTCCTGCTTGACAGTAGTGGCAAGAAGCTTGTTGAACTCCCTTGGCTGATACATAGTTTTCACATTTGATGAATTGCTTAGATAGCAGTGTATGAAGTCATTGCTCCCAATTGAAACATAGAATATGGATTTAGAGATGAAATCATCTGCGGCCACTTCCCCAAGGTTCAACTCAAACTGCTGGAAAGTATCAGTCACCTGCTGTATCTGTTGTGCCAGTGAAATGTGCCCTCCCTGAAAACAGAGAAATATATATTTAGCTTTGGAAACACAAATATTTTTAATTGAAGAACTTTTATTTTCAAACTGTGGTTTAATGGGAAGAATCATTCCTTAGCTGTCCTTACTCTCGGGTTAATTTTCATCCACTTGAATGCAATAGGGGATGTTTCATTTGTGTATGTGGATAATTTAGTTGCCTGATCATTTTCAATAAACAGAACATACCAAAAAAATGGAGATGGAAGCAACATGGTGAAAGGATCAATTTGATACTAGAGAATAACTTAACCTGAAATTTTTTTATGGTTATTCGGTAAAACGTACAAGATGTCAACATTTTGTATACCAGTTAAAGCATCCAGGGAAAAATCTGTGAATATAATCACCTTCAAGGAAGAAAAATGTTGAGGAAATTAGAATCATTATAATAGTACATGAATTCAAATTCGTACCTGTAATCTGTGCATATCTGCTGAACAATTAAAAACATAATCTATAAAATTTTCATGAAGAATGCAAGCTTCGAAATTATTCCAACACGTTTGTACTTATGTGGCCAATGATTCAATGAAAATATGCATATAATGAAAAATAGAAGGTAATTTGGAGAAAATGTGATCAATTCTCCCACTATTGTGATCCCCGGGAAGATAAAGGAAAAAGATTAAGATATCCAGTTTTAAGATTAAGCTATGCAGTTTGCACCGTTTTGGACCTAATTAAGAAGAAATTTCCAAAAAACTCATTGAGACAGATATAACATGAATACTGTGAGAAGTGAAAAGGGTACATCCAGCAACTAGGTCGAATGCGAAGATTTACAAGCACAACAACCTATGAAGATTTACAAGCACAAAAACCTATAAAAAATAAAACAGAGGTGGAATATTCACCAAACCTTTTTCTGTTATAACTTATACATTGATATATTCATCTGGCAATGCACATAGATAGAATGTTTGAGTGCTATTAAAATTCATGTTACAGGGAAATACAGCTTTTACACTATCATGTTCCTTTGTCTATACTTATTCCCCATGCACTTCAGTGTAATACTGCAAGATTAAATTTCCCCACATGAAAACGGAAATTATAAAGACATTAAATAAGCATCACAGTGTAAGTTAATTCAGGGAAAGTTTTGGTATTCAGTAAACACAACTAATGTTTCCATATAGGAAGGGAAATGTCCCATTTTACATTCTAGGGAAGGGAAGTAGAGATATACAAATCAAAATCATATTAAAATATAAAGCATAAAATATATTTATTCTCAAATTTGGTTAAAGACTATTACAACATATAAATCATTTTTGTCAATATTATTTTCGGAAAACCGCTATGCAAATATGTAATGTTTTTAGTATGTTGAATATTGGAGGAAAAGGAGGATATGTTTGCTAAAACCAAGGAAATTGTCACAAGTTACAGCTCCTTTCTATTATAGTAGCTAATTTCAACTATTGAATAAATTAAAGGGTTTTTTTATATATTTACCTCCCAAATCTATCATATTTTAAATAACATCCCCCCGGGCAAAAAAAAAAAAAAAAAATCTTGGTGTTTCTAGAAGTACCCACCAAATCACCAACTTTGGGTAAATATATCACCCACTACTAACAGTTAAATTTCAATTTTGATTGGTGGTTTTCCATAATTACCCCTTCTCTCTCCTTCACTTCCATCATGACAAAAACCTGTTACCCTCCAATGGGCTACCGTCACCACCACGATTGAACCTGTACCCCAATTAGTAGAAAAAAAACTCAAAACCCCTTGGGGTTATCCTGCGCTTGGAAGAAGAAGTACGAAAAGGAAAAAAAATAGTGACAGAATGAATAAATAAAACTTTTAATGAAGGGATCGATTGTTCGAATAATAAACAAGTATTCATACAAAACAGGTCAGAATACAGATTAATGGTCTAAAACGCGATACATATTTATTCATCTAGATGTGTTGAAGGATAGGAAAAGACAGGATACATTTCATATCATACACAGTACAAAGAAAATCCACTCTTTTGTCATTTCCTATCGTATTTATTTATGCTATTTCTTCACTCTTGCTTACGCTACTTTCAAGTGATTGACATGCGCGGTATGCATTTTCTTTTGATTCAATCTTTTTTTTCTCCTTATCATTCGAGAAAGACAAGAAAATTTCAGGGTAACAAACATTATCTTCCTTTGACTCCATGCCACGAATAAAATAAAACGGTAATAAGTTTGAAAGAATCAATTCATTCGTGGTCAAATCCTTCCACGATGCATTTTATTCCAACTTTGACTAAGCGGGGGATCAAATGGTATAGTTCATTTGGTATAGTTCATTTGTTGATAGCTTGGAGGATTACAAATATGACTTGTGCTTATTTCGCTTTAGGGGGCTGGTTCACAAGTACAACTTTTGCAACTTCATGGTATACCCATGGATTGGCTAGTTCCTATTTGGAAGGTTGTAGTTTCTTAACCGTTGCAGTTTAGTATCAACTAAGTTCACGGGCTGGAGATAAGCGGACTCGAACCGTTGACATCCGCCACAAGGTAAACCACGCCCAAAGCCAATCTCATGGAACAGTGAAGCTTCATAGGGTCTTTCTGTCCAGCTGCAGGTAGTCTGCATCTTCACAGACATGTCTATTTCACCAAGCCTCTCTCCGAGACAGTGCCTAGATCGTTATGTCTTTCGTGCGGGTCGGAACTTACCCGACAAGGAATTTCCATTTTTGTACATTCAACGTACTCTACGGATAGAGGAATACATATAGTTGAACATAGTAAAATAAGAAATTGAAAGATTTCGTTGAAATTGTTCGTTTGGAAATTTCCCAAAAAGCTAATTATAGGTTCTTCTTTTCAGTAGATTGATTGTTTTGCTCCTGTATCTTCCAAAATATAAAACGATTTCTCAGAGTTGTTTCATGGAGATGTAGGATATCTATTCAGAAGTTTTTACAACTCAATCATGTATGATGGAATCATCAAAGATTTGATCTTTTCTAACTCTATCTGTAACTCACTAGAGGCTTGGGAAACAAAGAGAAGATGGATATGAAAGAGATATCCAGCAACAAGAAGGAAAATGATTGAATAGAGGAACTCCCGAGCATTTCTTGATCTCAAATGTGCTCATATCGAACGAAGAAAATGATCCAATTACTTCGAAAGAATTGAACGAGGAGCCGTATAAGGTGAAAATCTCATGTACAGTTCTGTAGAGTGACAGTAAGGATGACTTATCTGTCAACTTTTCCACTACCACCCCTAAAAAACTAAACTCTGCCTTACGTAAAGTTGCCATAGTACGATTAACCTCTGGATTTAAAATCACTGCTTATATACCTGGCAAATCCAAAATTCCTCTTTTTTATACATAGGTCGTCGATTCGGCATTGGATAATAAAGGGCAAGGTGCCCTTTATTTCCTCTTTTTTATACATAGGTCGTCGATTCGGCATTGGATAATAAAGGGCAAGGTGCCCTTTATTTATTTCGAAGTAATTGGATCATTTTCTTCGTTCGAGAATCTTTTCCCTTCTTCCACCCTATCCCGAAGAGTAATTAAGACCAATTCATTCACGTTTTCATGTTCTAATTGAACACGCATATCGGTTGAAGTAGATTCTTTTTTTTATCAATAAAAACCCCTTCCCAAACTGTACAAGCTTCTTCCAAAGAATACGACTTTCTAGATGTATATGATGATACGGCTCTGCAATGGAATTTCCTTTTTCCTCTCTTCTATTCTATCGAAGAAAAAAATGGAATCCATCCGATCCAGATCGTTGAATGATTCATTTACCACCCTTCTTTTCCTATTATAAGAGTCGAGAATACAGAGAATGGTCCTGTCATCTCTATCAAGATGATTCTACCCCGTCAGATATTTATTCTAATATCTGAAGCATGGAATATATCTCGAATAATAAACAAGTATCCATGCCTTTGTTCCCACAAAATAGGATCAATGCTCCCATTGCGAGTTATTTGTACCGAGGGTTCGAATCCCTCTCTCTCCGCTTCCTCTGATTACTTCAGACTTTCCAATGTGAAAAAATTTCCAACAATCCAAAGATAGGAACCGTTAGAATATTCTGAACCGTTCATGAACCTAACAACAAATGTTTTTTAATAAAAAAATTACTTAATACTCGGATTTATAGATCATTCTGGTAGTTCGACTGTGAAATTTTTTTGTTTCGGTATTTCCGAAATATGAGTGTGTGACTTGTTATAATTGATCTTATTGAGAATACAGAGAATGGTCCTGTCATCTCTATCAAGATGATTCTACCCCGTCGAATATTTATTCTAATATCTGAAGCACGGAATATATCGAACTTCTATTATGAATCATAATAGGGGTACTCGTAATTGTGTGGTTAGAAAGAGAAATATCCGTAGCAATACAACAACGTATCGGGCCTGAATACCAGCTACTTTATCACCCACTTTGATTTCACGTTTCTATAAAATATATACACGAATCCTTTCTGGATTATAACTGGAACCCCCCTTTTTCTGGATCCATCACACATCGAGACAAATAAAATAGGTTAGAGATGACTTAAGAAATGTCTAAGGATTTATCTTCGAACTTTTTCAGAATTACGGCAAAAAGAAGGAGATTCGCTAGCTCGCTATTTAGTACGAATCGGTGACATGAAGGAATCTATAAAAATTATTCAACAGGCTCTAAAAGGAATTCTTGGAGGACCTTTTATGAAAATTTAGAAGTCCTTTTAGAATTTAGATTATTTTTCTGCTTTTACATTAGTACTTTAGATTATTTTTCAGTTGAGTGAAAAATGGGAAATTCATGGAAAATTGCAATCCCTACCACGTAATAGTGCACCTATACGTCTTCATCGACGTTGTTTTTTGACTGGAAGGCCTAGAGGACCTTATGAAAATTTAGAAGTCTGACGCTTTGATAGAGGAAAAAATTCCGAAAGGACTAATTTTGACTATAGATATATTACTAAAAAACTTTCACCCAATTTTGAATTG